GCGGAGTAGACAGATATGAATGTTTATTCATAACCATACTGAAAATAAGTAAATATTGTTAGCTGATGCTAACTGTCTAGCTAACAAGCTTGCTGGTGCTAAGTTGAGGTAATTTTTAGATATAAAGTCAAAATATTTTTATTCAGCCACCTAGCTAGATTACATCTGGGGGGAAAGAAAGGATGTGATGTTCAGAACATGGTAACTACAGTAATTATCAAAGTGGGAAGTGATGCCCTATGGGGGCCAGGGGTGTTTTTACTCCACAGACAAGGTTTGAGAAGAAAAAAATCATTATGAAAATATAATTATATTTTCCTTAAAATGTTCTTCCTAACTTCAGGCCTTATTCTCATGTCATATACAGTATAACTGTGATGTTCTGCAAAACAACAAGCTTTAAAACACTTTTTTCTTACTGGTGAAAATCAGATGGTCAAATCTGTTTTCTCTCAGGTACATCGCAGTGTAAGCTTCATAGTGAACATTACTACATCACTCTCGTCAACGTAGTCCATATCAACAACAAAAATATATCTTGACTCCATATAGTGGTTATTTTGGGAAAATCCCAGGTATTTTGAGCAGTAGGATTATAAAAAAATATGTGCTAGTATATATTTAAATTAAGTAGCCTATATAAAATTGCAAAATAAATCTATCAGTACATTTTTACTTAAGTACATAAAAAATCGAGTACTTTTGTACTTTCACTCGAGTAAAATTGAAAAAGGAGTACTTTTACTTTTACTGGAGTAATATTTTATTATACGTATCTGTACTTTTACTCAAATACTTGATTTGTGTACTTCGTCCACCACTGGGTGCTATGACAAGACTCTTGGCCTTTATAAAGATGCAATGCTGCATAACAGCATATGTATACTTTCATACTTTTTAATACCACACCAAAGATACCACTGATTAAAATAACTGGCAATGAACAGACAAGACAAATACTGAGCTCTCATACAGTCCGACAGTCTGAGACCATATTATTACAATACATCTCGATATTACGTGTTAATCTTCATAACCCCAGCAGGCGGCGCTATTGATCAGGTTTAAATAGTTAACAGAGGCTGAATGGAGACTTTCGTAGTATCTTTATGTCATTAAAGCGCGTGTTGTTAATAGAGCTACCGGTTATGAAATATGTTGATCTCTTTAAATATGTTCAAATGACGGAATGCTCAATTATTGCATTGGTTTTATTAAAAAGGTAAACGAATAGTTTAACCATTTAGTGTTGACTAGTTTTCAACATACATCCTGCCTGTATTAATAATGCCACAACTTTCCACATAAACTCAACTCGAATACTTTGCGTAGCAGACACATAACTAAAATAAAACAAAATCTATCAAATTAAAATGAAAACTTTTTTTTCAACTGAGGAAGACACTAGTTATTGTGCTGCTGCACCTTGGTGTATTCATTATTTTGTGTTTATATAATTGAAACTCATTCAGTAAAAATTAAACTGATTTGTGGCACTCTATGCCTTTCACGTTATTCCTTGTAAATGTAGGCTTATTTCATTAGTTAAACTATTTAAAATGTAAGAACTAGGCCTTTTTTTTTCAAACCTTTTGCTCCAGTAAATCTTTCCTCCCTTGGCTAGAAAAAAAAAAAAAAAAAAAACTATTTTAAAGATTTTAAACCATTTCACGATTATTGTTTGTGTACATCCTGTAATTCTCATAAACCTGAATAGAATGTTGTTACGCAACAATTGGAGCTATTGGACTGAAAGACAGATTCAGTGATAATTCACAACAACCACTATTCCTTCCGGAAATAAAGCCTTTATTTGTAACTAGTACTTATTACAGAAAAAAAGATGAAAGAAAAAAGCAAATCAAATGACATACAGTAAAGACATTCTGATCCAGAGCCTCCAGCTGCATGCACAGAAACCATAAATGTGAGAGCAAACTAACACACATTCATTCACTTCACATTAACTATATACAAACAATCTTATTCAGTCTCTGTTCGTTACAGTTTTTCTTTTTGAAAGAATAAAAAAAAAAAACATTCATTCAAATATACACACCTTAATGAAATCAAATTTGCAAAGTAAACAAATCTGCAAATGGTGGTTCAATGACCTGTTATATTCTTTCATTATGTTGACTGGCTAACAAAGCAGTTAAAATGTAAAATAAAGAGAGATTAAAGAAGAACACAATGCGGTAAACAGAGTACAAATCTGTCAGATGACATGTAAAACTATATTGACAGCCTCTTATTCTTTTTTTAAAATGGAGCATACCACTTGCAGGGAAATAAACTCAAAAACTGTGCAAGAGAAGAAAACGACACTCCAGCATTGTGTTCTCACACTCTTGGTAGTTCACTGCTCTTCTGAGAGCGAGCACTCGGAAAGCGAGCGTTCCCTCCTCTCACGAGTGGCCACGTAGTTCAGCAGGTCAATGGCTGTCACCACCCCAAACACCATCTGCCTCATCTTGGGGGATCCATCGCTCATGTTTGTAAGACAGGAACTGCAATTCAGACTGTGGACACCATCCACTGCAATGACAGCATGGCCTGTGTTACTTGATCTGATGAATAACTTAAAGGGAACAAAATAGGTCAACACATTCTCTAAATGTAAATTTATAGGGAGCACACAATGTGCCATCAGCAACTTTTTTTGTAATTTTACAAAAAAAAAAAAAAAAGCTTTAGGTTTGAACAACTCTGGTCCCAAACACTGAAATATGGAAATAACTTTTGCTGTACCTTCTGATCACACTGTTAAAAAAATAAATAAAAAATAGAAAGAAAGAAAGAGACTTTTATCTGTATTTTCGTCTTGTTTACCAGAGCAAATGTCTAAAGATTCTTAAATCAAGATAGCCTACATTTACTTGGGAAGCAAAATTACATGAGGTAAAAAGTTTTGTTTCCTGTTAAATTCATCAAAATGGAGCAAGTTTATGATTAAAACAAGAACAAACATCTGCCAATGGGCTCAAAAATAAAATAAAAAAATCAGCTTAATTCAAACGGAAATGTTATTTTCATACCCCATTGACAGATATTTTTTTCTTATTTTAAATCAACCTCACTTAGTTTTGTTCAATTTCAAGACTTAATTTCTTCATGTTGCATCTCAAGTAAATGTATCTTGATTTAAGGATGTTTAGATATTTCTATTGGAAAACAAAAATACTGGAAGATATTAATTTGCAGTGCATGAAACATTTAACGCCACAACTGTAAATTTAAAACTGGTCAAAAAAATGTGTAGCCTGAATGCACTGTATGTCGCTTTGGATAAAAGCGTCTGCTAAATGCATAAATTATTCAATTAAAACTACTATGATTTTAGAACTTTTTAGGGACCTTTTTAAGAGCTGCAGAATCCCGGTTTAAATTTTTGTTTTAAGTTGAAGAACTTATATAATATATATAACAAATTATATAAAAACTTAAATAAAACTACATAAACATTAAAAAATACTAATAAAAATGACAAATGCACAACAAAAACTGTAATAGTATATTAACGATGCTACAATACTGTTGGGGGTCTAAATAATTGGCTTTACAGATGTGCCAAAAAGTGCAAAAATTATTTTAATGCAAGCAGCCCTGTATTCTTATGTAATGCTTGTTAATTGTCATTTGAAAAGCAAAGTTCACAGTAGTGTTATTCTAGCACTTGGCCGAGTTTGCCACAGCAGGTTGTAATGTCCTTGAAGAGGTACACAATGTAGGCGATTTCTTTGCAACAAAAAGCAAAGAAGGGGGAGCAGTAATCCGGTGTTCAGGAAAACACGTGTCCTATATCAGGAATCGGTGCTGTATTCATTGCATTAAGCTCTATGAATAAGACTGTTGTTCCTGAATATTGCTGCGTTTTGTGTGCAAAGACTTTTCCTGTTAAATACCTGTTAACTGAGTCACATGAAGTAGATGCTTATATTCTTACACCAACTGTTTTGCTTTAAGATCCACCTTTTTATATTGGACATCAAGTGTTGACCCAATGCGTTACTAAATGTAACCTGTATTTATTGTAGTCTGGGTCAAATTTTGTTTAAGCGCATGTTGGAATCTGTCTAATTTGAAAGCTTCTACCAAGTGAATATAAAGTTCAAAAGAACAGCATTTATTTAAAATGGACATCTTTTGTAACATTTAACTGTTTTCACTGTTACTTGATCAATTTAATGCATTACAACGTATTAATGTAAATAAATACAATACAATTTCTTACTAACCCCAAACTTTTGAATCATGGTGGATATGACTAAAATTATGAAAATGGAGAGAAGCAGATTGGTTAGGGAAATGGTATAACAGAGAGTCAAATGACTTACACTGAATCTGCTCATGCACAACAAGGGCGAAATGGTCCGTCTCAAGGATACGTGAGAGTTTGCCCAGGTTATCAGTTACGCGCACCTTCAAGGAGAGAAACAAGACGACTATTGAGCGATCACATTACCTCTGTCAGTAGAACTGAGTGTACTGATATTTTCGTTGACATATACAATTAACATGTTATTATTCAGCTATCATTTGCTTCTCTGTCCAAACCTCAGAAATCAAAACAGCAGAGGTCTTTGTTATAGACCTCAGCAACAGGCACTTGTAAGGATTTACAATGTCTCAAGGTTTATTTGAACATGTTGTGTGAATACTTTTTCTCGGTCCTTCTGTTGCACGTACACTGTGACAAGAACTTTGCTTATGGGATCAGATGGCCTGACTCTCCCAGCCAGAACGGACGAGAGCATGTTCCCCAATGTGACCATGCCCAGAATCTGCCTACAGGGAGAAAACCAGCCACAACTTACTCCACTTACCATCTGTTTTATTTTAGGTTAATGACATGACAGTGTTTTTTTTCTAAAGATCTTTTAGGTCTCAATCTCGGTCCTGGAAGACCCCAGCACTTTGCACTTTTGCATTTTGGACATCTCTCTTATCAGACAGTCTTGGAGCCTCTACTAATGAGTTGATGATACAAATCAGGGAGATGTGAAGTGCTGGGGTGCTCCAATGACCAGGATTGAGAACCAGTGTATTAAGCTAATTCAAAATAACTATTTAAACAAAACAAACAACCAAAAGAATTATATTGATACTGGCCTCTATGATTAATTTTTTTTCAGTGTCTGAATTATAATTACTTGTAATAAAAAAAAAAATTATAATTCTACATATACGTTCACACATATACACACAAACATACATACATATATTACACATACACACACACACTGGGTTTCCATGTTTTATGGGGACATTCCATTGGCGTAATGGTTTTTATACTGTACACATTTTATTTTCTATCCCCTTATCGTAACACTACCCCTAAACCTATTCATCACACAAAACTTTCTGCATTTTTATATTTTTGAAACACTTCATTCTGTTTTCCTCATGGGTAGCAAAATTTATTGTTATTACTATCCTTGTGGGGACATTTGGTCCCCATAACATTTACATTTAGTCATTTAGCAGTCGCTTTTATCCAACGCGACTTACAAATGAGGACAATAGAAGCAATCAGACCAACAAGAGGGCAATAAAATGTAAGTGCTGTGACAAGTCTCGGTTAGCCTAATTTTTTATAATAAAAAAAGGAAAAGTAGATAGTGTTAGAGGGCCTTTTTTTAACTAAAAATAAAACAAGTCAAAAGAATAGAAAAAGAACAGAGAGTGCAAGTGTTAGAGGCTCAAGTGTTATTTTTTTTTACGTAGTGAATACCAGTGTACAGACACACACACACACATATATAAAATTTGAATTAAAAGCTGTTAAGAATAATTAAAATCCAAGTAGTTCAGCATTAGCTTTTTATTTTTATTTTAGTATTTTATGTATTTGGTTTACTACTGTGTGTCCGTATTAAGTAACCTAAATATAGATATATTGACCTTTTTAAAATATATTAGTTCAAGTTTCCATCTGTCAAATGGAATAACCCAAGAAAACCTCATGGTATTTGTAAAATATTTCTACCTAAAATATATTTATATATTTTAATGTTTTTTTTTTTTTAAAGTATGTGTACATTTCACATGATATTCAACATGTAAAGGAAAAAGTTCTTGGCATATCATTAAATGTTTTTCACTATATTAAGAACATGGCACACATATTTTAAAGATTTTAAAGGATTTCTCCTTCTCATTGTCTGACATCCTTATTTGCATATCCTTATTAATGTATTCCATAAATACGCAGTAATTGTGACACTGCATTGATTTAAGTGATTAGCACTGATACATGATCTCCTTGAGGCCATGGGACTAAAATCTTAAGAGGCTTGACAAAATGGTCAAGTTCTAAACAAATTGGTTTCTGGATGAATGACCTACCCGGCCTCGTCCACCACAGGGGCTTGGTCAAAAGCCTTCTCTTTCAGGATCTGAATAGTCTTCATGATAGACACTAAAGGCAGCACAGTCAGTGGGGCAGAGAGTCGGAGCTCCTGTAGAGTCAGATTCCACCACCTTCAGAGAGAGGAGCGCAGAGAGACGGGACGGGTGGAGTGGGAGGAGAATAAAAACTCACGGTAAGAAGACACACGGACAGACTCATTCGAGAGAGTGAACACGTCTCCACATTTAGAAGCTGAACTGTAGCTGTAATGCAGACTAGTGTAGTAACAGATGCAGAGAGTGTCTATATTTGCACAGGATATCGACGTGTAAATAACAAGGGTGCTTTCAAAGAAAACATGCTTATGAGGGTATGTGTTTACGCTCACCATGGCTTGCTGACAACAAGATCCTCCTCACTCAGGAAGCCCTTTTCACACATCCACTTGTCGCTAAGAAATTTAGACCTGAGGGTGAGGAGAACAAATAATTTGTTTTAAAGGTACATCAACATAAAGCTTAATGCATACGTTTTTAGTATAATATAGCATGCAAGGATAGATGTTTGAAATGCAATTACAAAATCATGCTACACACTGTTATGTGACCACACTATGTTACATGTTTACATTACCAAGTGGCTTTTCACTGCATCAAGGGAGATGGAATTTGCATACTACTGTAGGTACAATACACATACTGTGCATTCACTGATGAAGTAGCATGCAGTGTTGGAGTAATTAACTAAAAGTAGTGCATTTAGTTTAGTAGCATCACTGTTTTATATATATACAGGGCCGTCGCAAACATGGTGTGAGGCCCAGTGTGAGTTGGTGGATGCGAGGTCAACGTCAATTTGCAGAATTATTTTTTTTTTTGATCTCATATACATGAACACTTTTTAACCACAACGCTTTTTTTATTTGATCTCATATACATGAATACGTTTTAACCATTAATAGTGTTTTAAAATAATATTATTGATAAAGTTGTTGGTATGTTATGTTCATGTTTAGAAGCTTGTTGATGTTCAGCCGCTGTGACATGTTTGCCGTTTCTTTATATTTTGCTGCCTTCTGGAATGTAATGTCTTCTTTAAAATAGAAAGGGCAACAGTTTTTGAGTATGACATTTTTGTAATGGAGGGAGATTTTTCTCTTTAATAAAAAGACTTGTATGATATCCTTGTGTGACGCTATGCTGTTTGCATTAACGCAACATTAGTAGACATTTAATGGGACATGTGACCACTATTTGATATTCTTGATGGTGCTTCACTGCACTGTACTACTCTGTTTGTTGTTAGGATGACAAAAAAATTTTAAATGTTATGTTTTTGGCAAGCCCGCCTCAGCGGTCTAACAGTGAAAATTCCAGCGCGATGCTTCAGTTTTAACGGTGAAAGAGTTCAAGGTAAGATATACGTTAACTAAACATTATTATATGTCAACTGTTCTATGATAGAAACGTTAAATGACCGAGAGTAATCCAGTGACACAAATTCAACTTTATTGTCAAATGTTGCCATTTTGATTTTGAATTGAAAATACATGATTTATGTGGTTCTGATTCATTCAAGATGAAACAAGAAACATTAAAGGGATCGTTCACCCAAAAATGAAAATGTGATGTTTATCCCCTTTAACGGAACCATTTTTGGCATATTAAGCATATGATTTAGAGTGAATGTGTCCATCCATATAAAAATATTATTATAGTTCAAAAGCATTACAATAAATTCTAGTTCTTTTACTATCTTTATTGTCTAAAATCCCTTTTAAATCCTTGACCTCTGTCAATTTTTTCCCCTAGCAAAATACTTGATAAACTGTTATAAATTTGATTTCTAGTTTTATTAGTTGTTTTTAGTGCACATTTATCAGTTTAACCTTGTTACACGTCAGGGTTAGGGTTATCCTCGTTTTTGTTTTGAATAGTTTTACGTTTATACAGCTACTTTTAGCTGGCATCTTGTAGTGCAGCTAACTGACTGTAATTTAACTACTAAATTAAGATTAGCTTAGTTTAGCTACACTTAATATTTTGAGAAGCAACACTTTCAAAAGAGCTTCTCACCACTGGTAGTATGGAAGCATGCGATTCTGAGCATACCGGCAGTCTAGTTTAAAGTCTAAAACATTAGTATTGTTGTTGCTTAATCTACCAGGCAACACAAAACACACATCCACACCACAGCTAAGCACACTAGAACGCTGGGAACACAGAAACCTACATGTAGTTGCGGATGGAGTCGGGGAGGATCACCACACAGCGCTGGCCTTCCTTCAGCTCTTTGGCTACATGCACTGCTGCAGCCATGGCTGTGCCTGAACTACCACCTGCAAAGAGTGACAGACAACAGGGTTTAGATACACACTTAAGTTTGCACATATGAAACGAGAGAAATGCACTACGAGTCACATACCGCACAGAAAACCCTCCTCTCTGATGAGCATACGAGACATGGCAAAGGACTCTTCATCACTGGACTTGTACCAACTATCCACCACCTGAGACACAGTAAATGTGGTAAAAAATTAAACAGATATTGCATTGCATTTGCTGGAATGAAGTGTGACACCTTAAACTATTTATTATTATCCATGTTCCTTAAGAGAAATTGGTTCTCAACATATAAAACTATTTTCTTCCTCACTGTGGCTCTTTTTAGTTTTAGTAGAAAAAAAGGGGTGAAACATCTATGCACTTCAAGATTTAAATCTCTGGAAAAGACATGTGCATCCTCTCTAGGTAGCTTGTGTCACTATAAATGGCATAATTTTGAATGATTTTGCTTTAAAACTAAGCATACTGGCCTATTTTAAATGTGATGATAGACCAGACAGCAACCATTGCAAAGACATGTCAATTTCAGGATGTAAAATTTAAGATGGGTTTTGGCGAAGGGTCAACTGCCATTAGTAAACATCAAATGGTCATTTCAGCTGCATCAAAGCCTACTGTGCAAATACACACTTACAGATCTGTCCATAACAGTGGGGATGAAGTCATATCCGATGCCCTCAACCTCATATTGAGTCTTATCAGTCTTATTCAGATCCTCTGGCTCAGAAAGGATAGAGCCCACAGGATCCACTCCAACTATCTGATGAACAATGACACAAACACTTGTTACAGGCTGTGTAAAAATTTGTTTCTAAAAATAACTTTAAAACACTTACAAAAATAGAATACTTTTAAGACTTATAAATTGTCATTTTAAAAATTTGTAATAAAAGAATATGCCATAATTGCCGGTTGGGCCAGTGGCACAATGGATAACACGTCTGACTACGGATCAAAGATTCTAGGTTCGACTCCTGGCTGGCTCACTCTGTGTGGGGCAGTCGTGGCCTAATGGTTAGAGAGTCGGACATGTAACCTGAAGGTTGTGAGTTCGAGTCTCAGGTCCGACAGGAATTGTTGGTAGGGGGAGAGAATAACCAGTGTGCTCTTCCACCCTCAATACCACGACTGCGGTGAGACCCTTGAGCAAGGCACTGAACTCCCCAAGTGCTCCCTGGGTGCCACAGCAATATGGCTGCCCACTGCTCTGGGTGTGTGTTCACTACTGTGTGTGTGCACTTGGATGGGTTAAATGCAAAGCACAAATTCCGAGTATGGGTCACCACCGAGTGGCAACCTCCCGCTCTCTCTCTTGAAGCCAACAAGGAAGTGACTTAAACTGTAATTCGTCAACTGGCCGCTAGACCATCTCAACCTTTTTGTCAATATTCAAATGCCTGTTCAGCCTGTCTGCCTTAAAAAAAAAAACTCAAAAATATGTTATCAGTTTAATGTTGGACATTTTTATTGTTTTTTAGCATTGCATTTAATATTTTTAATAACTAAATTTAAATCATTTTTAAATTTATTGGGCCCCCCCTGGAAGTTCAAATGGGCCGGTGATGGTGCCACCAGTGCCAGCTCCGGCCACCAGCATGTCTATTTTACCTACAGAGGGCAAGCGCAAAAACATAGCATCAATATTATTCACATGCAGTCCATCTCAACCTTTTTGTCAATATTCAAATGCCTGTTCAGCCTGTCTGCCTTAAAAAAAAAAAACTCAAAAATATGATATCAGTTTAATGTTGGACATTTTTTTTGTTTTTTAAGAAAAATCAATAATTTTGACCCATACACAATGTATTTTTGGCTGTTGCTATAAATATACCCCAGCGACTTAAGACCAGGCTGGTCTTTGTGGTCTAGGGTCACATATGTGAAATGTGCACCTACTCAGATGCAATTAGTCAGCTAATTCCACGTCTGTAATGCCAATGCTGGTCGGCTGAACTGGCCGAAGGGTTTTGACTCAAAAGGCTTTGACTTCCACACAATAACTCTTTCAAACAATGCTTGTTTGAGGGGCTTAAATACAGTCTGGCTACACTTTTGACCCATGTGGCTAAACTCACTCACCTTTCACAAATGAAAATGACAGAAGCCATTCTGTGAGCCTGGTTTTGGTCTTTGAGTACACCCAGACAGAATGTTTCTTTTCCAAACCAAAACTAAAACAATGCAACCATATGAGGTATTCCTCTACTGCATTCCTCCCAGCAGGAATTGCTGAGGGGTATTTTAATGGCCTCTGATTTTACCTGATAAAATGATAGAAATGTACTTTCCAGTTCAGTTTTTAAGTTCAATTAGGGTGTAGAAGAGCCAAAGTGTATGTGATACCACAGATTATGCACAATATTATATTATATAGTTATAGAACATATATCACCTCATATTACACCTCACCTTACGACAAATGTGGAAGCAAAATGGCCAAATGAAAAATACACTTACAGTCATATTAGGTATCTTTGCAAGAACATACTAGTTTTTTCGTTCTATCAGGCATTCTTTATCAATTTAGCATCAAACAAACAATAAATTGTTCACTGAGAAAGAAAAAAAAAGGATCATATAAAAAAAAAATAAACAGCTTGTTTGTAAATCACCATTAAAACAAAATAAGTATGTCACGCTTCATACACAACATGACATTTCCACAGATTTTTTGCTCCGATCTGCAGTCTGGATGAATCGATGCTAGTTACTGAAAGTCAGGGCCAGTCTGCAAATTTTGGGCAGTCGGAGTTGACAAATTTTACAGAACATGGCAAAGTGCATGAGCAAAGTGTAGCTTCAGACTTTGGTTCCTTCCAGTCGGATATGAAACATTTTTGATATTTTGAGCCGATTTCAGTAAACATATTGCTTTTATTTGTCACGCATCTCCTAGCAATGAGGCACATGCTTCTGTGAGTTTGTTGTTTAGAACAACTTAAAAGTCAGGTAGTGTGTGATCTTTAGTTGTTTAGTTTATGATGCCCAGTGATTCTCTGTAACCATTTACAAAGTCAACAAGTATGAATATTGTGAATTCAGACATACTACTCTTTTCACACACTGTTTTTTGTCTACTAGTAGGGAAGTAGGCATTTTTGGATGCAGCTTATATCTAAAACAAAAAAACAAAAAAAAAAAACTTGGTGCCAACTAAGAAAGTACATTAAAAGTCATTAAATAAATAAATAACAGACTCAAAATGCCTGACTGAAGTGTGTCTCAGTACGGTCAGTCTAGGAACGCTCGATCCTTCACATCCTCACTCAACTGAGGAGGAAACCTAAAACATGAATTCTTCATTCCAGAACACAACCCCTTACTTCCCAACCCAGACAACACATGCACTTTCCAGGCTGTCCTTAAATGATCATGTGATTTGAGTGTCCTCATAGCACACGACAGAAAAAAAAAACAACAACACATGAAACCAGGTGTGAAGACACATCCTCCGCACCCACATGGTACAGATACTTACGAAGCTCACACTTGAGGCCAAAAGCTTTAGGAATCTTGTTCATGCGGACCAGTGGGGTCTCTCCGATCCTGCTTAAAATGTTGGGGAGGATACTGGGTGCTTTTGCTCTGTGAGAAAAAGGAGCACATTAAGTGGTTACACACACAAGCAAGACCACAAACACACATTAAAGCAACGTCAACAAACCACAATGGAACTGACTGAACTGAATCACAGTGACTCTGCACACACTGACATTGCTCTCTGGGTAAGGTAAGGGTGTGGTAATTCACTGTTATATTTCTAGAAAAGTCATTCTTCCTGAAAGAACTCTGTTGTTAAACAGGAGTTATTTGCAAGGTCATGACAGTTGATGAGACAGTGTTTGGAAAAAAATCTGCCATTTTAATACTGGGAGCATAGATTTAAATAATACAGATGGTAAAAAGGCTCTAACAAAGTTAGAGATTACTGAAAATTCTCTACCAATATTTCAAGCAAAAAGTTGTGAAAGAAGCTACCCTATATATATAAATATATACAGGTGCATCTCAATAAATTCGAATGTCGTGGAAAAGTTAATTTATTTCAGTAATTCAACTCAAATTGTGAATCTCGTGTATTAAATAAATTCAATGCACACAGACTGAAGTAGTTTAAGTCTTTGGTTCTTTTAATTGTGATGATTTTGGCTCACATTTAACAAAAACCCACCAATTCACTATCTCAACAAATTAGAATATGGTGACATGCCAATCAGCTAATCAACTCAAAACACCTGCAAAGGTTTCCTGAGCCTTCAAAATGGTCTCTCAGTTTAGTTCACTAGGCTACACAATCATGGGGAAGACTGATCTGACAGTTGTCCAGAAGACAATAATTGACACCCTTCACAAGGAGGGTAAGCCACAAACATTAATTGCCAAAGAAGCTGGCTGTTCACAAAGTGCTGTATCCAAGCATGTTAACAGAAAGTTGAGTGGAAGGAAAAAGTGTGGAAGAAAAAGATGCACAACCAACCGAGAGAACCGCAGCCTTATGAGGATTGTCAAGCAAAATCGATTCAAGAATTTGACTGAACTTCACAAGGAATGGACTGAGGCTGGGGTCAAGGCATCAAGAGCCACCAAACACAGACGTGTCAAGGAATTTGGCCACAGTTGTCGTATTCCTCTTGTTAAGCCACCCCTGAACCACAGACAACGTCAGAGGCGTCTTACCTGGACTAAGGAGAAGAAGAACTGGACTGTTGCCCAGTGGTCCAAAGTCCTCTTTTCAGATGAGAGCAAGTTTTGTATTTCATTTGGAAACCAAGGTCCTAGAGTCTGGAGGAAGGGTGGAGAAGCTCATAGCCCAAGTTGCTTGAAGTCCAGTGTTAAGTTTCCACAGTCTGTGATGATTTGGGGTGCAATGTCATCTGCTGGTGTTGGTCCATTGTGTTTTTTGAAAACCAACATCACTGCACCCGTTTACCAAGAAATTTTGGAGCACTTCATGCTTCCTTCTGCTGACCAGCTTTCTGAAGATGCTGATTTCATTTTCCAGCAGGATTTGGCACCTGCCCACACTGCCAAAAGCACCAAAAGTTGGTTAAATGACCATGGTGTTGGTGTGCTTGACTGGCCAGCAAACTCACCAGACCTGAACCCCATAGAGAATCTATGGGCTATTGTCAAGAGGAAAATGAGAAACAAGAGACCAAAAAAATGCAGATGAGCTGAAGGCCACTGTCAAAGAAACCTGGGCTTCCATACCACCTCAGCAGTGCCACAAACTGATCACCTCCACGCCACGCCGAATTGAGGCAGTAATTAAAGCAAAAGGAGCCCCTACCAAGTATTGAGTACATGTACAGTAAATGAACATACTTTCCAGAAGGCCAACAATTCACTAAAAAAATTTTTTTATTGGTCTTATGAAGTATTCAAATTTGTTGAGATAGTGAATTGGTGGGTTTTTGTTAAATGTGAACCAAAATCATCACAATTAAAAGAACCAAAGACTTAAACTACTTCAATCTGTGTGCATTGAATTTATTTAATAAACGAGTTTCACAATTTGAGTTGAATTACTGAAATAAATGAACTTTTCCACGACATTCTAATTTATTGAGATGCACCGGTAAACCTGTAAAAATCTCAAAATCCTCAATAAGTTCTTTTTTGGACTTAGCAGTTTTTTTAAACATGTAAACACAACTTGTAATTAATCTGATGTGACCTGCAGATTCCAGTTACCTTTTGTCATTGTCCTGTGCAGTTCATCTGATCCTGAGACTAACAGGTAAGAAATGGCTTGACTGCTTTTATGAGCATACTGGAAGTGTAGACAGTATTTATGATTGTGAACACGACACTATTATGTGAATTCATCCATTTGTCTGACCAGTTAAATCACGCAGGAATCGCTGATCTCACCGAGAGATAAATGAATGCAATGTAGCCAATTAAAGCTTTTTAATAGTCAAACAGACAAAATCCATAAAGTCTGTCTGTGCGAGAGCTGCGCAGACGCCAGTATAGAGCCAGCGGCGCGTAATAGTGTTTTCCAGGCCTTGACGGAAAGATTAAATATCAAACGAGCATCTCGGAGGACCTCAGTCTTTGATAAAATGCCACTAATAAAATAAAGCCTGAAAATGACTGGAGACTCGTTATCAGATGGAGTCCACAGAGCGGGAGGATTTACAGACAGAATAAAGAGAGCGAGAGAGAGAGGATGAAAGAGAAATCCGAGGAGGTGAAGAGACGTCTACAACATATGGCCTTTATGAGACGCACAGCTGCTTGATGCAGGGACACTAGAGGAAGTGCTCGTTTGATCGCCCGTGAGAACGCTGGTCCAGATGTGCCCACAGGTGCTGATGTCCTTCACCACCAACAGACCATCATAATATCAAGGACACACCTTCAAGTGTACTGAGAGATTGGGAATGATAGACAGGTATTTTACATCAATAATTTGTGACCCTGGACCACAAAACCAGCCTTAAGTCGCTGGGATATATTTTTAGCAATAGCCAAAAAAACATTGTATGGGTCAAAATTATAGATTTTTCTTTTATGCCAAAAATCATTAGGATATTAAGTACAGATCATGTTCCATGAAGATATTTTGTAAATTTCCTACCAAAAATATATCAAAACTTAATTTCTGATTAGTAATATGCATCACTAAGAACTTCATTTGGACAACTTTAAAGGCGATTTTCTCAATATTTTGATTTTTTGACACCCTCAGATTCCAGATTTTCAGATAGTTGTATCTCG